AGTTGCCTGTTAATTCTTCCTGCAGAAATGCAAAAATAAACTAGCTCAAATTCAATTAATAACCATATTCTGGCCAGTCATGGTAGCTCATGCCTGTAATTCCAGTACTCTGGGAGGCCAAGGCGGGAGAATCACTTGAGCCCAAGAGTTGGAGACCAGCCTGGGCAACATGGCAAAACTCCATCTCTACAAACAATTAAAAAAAAAAAAATTAGCTGGACTGTAGTCCCAGCTACTTCAGAGGCTGAGGTGGGAGAATTGCTTGATCCTGGGAGACAGAGGTTGCAGTGAGCTGAGATGGCATCACTGCACTTTGTCTCTAAAAATAAAAATAAAATAACCATATTCCGGTGAACTAGGTTATTACTATCCTACACTGGTTAAAGGAAAAACCAGAAGTGCCATTTCTAAAACCACACAAAAAGTTACCATTGGCATGCCTTACACCTGCTCCTAAAGCCTAACAGGGTTAAGTCACAGAATGGTGGGCTCAGTTAATCTATATCATCACCTACCACTATACATTTTAGGTGGGTTCTAATGCCCTTCCATGTGTTCTGCCTGACTGTGACAGAGTTTTCACATCCAAATCAATTTGACTGCTCAATAGAAATGCATGTTCCATTCCCAATCCAGATCTGAGAATTACTCAGAGCCTGGGCTAGTCTAGGAATCTGCATTTTAACAAGTCCCAAGGTGATTCTAAATGCTCATAATGAGACCAGCTCCCTGGGCTGATTCAGTGTATTCCCATAGCCAGAATGATTCTTTTTTTTTTTTTTTTTTTTTTTTTAAGACAGAGTTTTGCTCTTGCTGCCCAGGCTGGAGTGTAATGGCGCGATCTCAGCTCAATGCAACCTCCGCCTCCCGGGTTCAAGCGATTCTCCTGCTTCAGTCTCCCAAGTAGCTGGGATTACAGGCATGTGCCACCATGCCTGGCTACTTTTGTATTTTTAGCAGACACAGGGGTTTCTCCACGTTGGTCAGGCTGGTCTCGAACTCCCGACCTCAGGTGATCCGCCTGCCTCGGCCTCCCAAAGTGCTGGGATTACAGGCGTGAGCCACCGCTCCCGGACCTAGAATGATTCTTTAGTATTAATTTGCAAGTTTCATAAAACCAGGGCCCAGGTATCATGTTTCCTGCTCTCTGACATCTGAGCCACTGGAACATCCACGCCCAGCCCTGGCTCACCTGAGGTCCCCACCTTGCCCCTTCAACCTGGCTTCAATCAACTCTTCACCACGGAGACACCAATTTCCTGATTTTTCCCGATGCAACTAGATATGTAACTCTGGCCACCGGTTTATTTTTTAAAGGAGGGATCACATTACTATGAATCGTTCTTTCCTTTTGCCCTGGATTTCTGTAAAGAAACAAATATGTCCGGCATGGTAGCTCATGCCTGTAATCTCAGGCATGTCCCACTTTGGGAGGCTGAAATGAGTGGATCACTTGAGGTCAGGAGTTTGAGACCAGCCTGGGCAACATGGCAAAACCCTATTTCGATTAAAAATACAAAAAATTAGCCGGGCATGGTGGTGCACACCTATAATCTCAGGTACTCGGCAGGTTGAGGCAGGAGAATCATTTGAACCTAGGAGGCAGAGGTTGCACTGAGCTGAGATTGTGCCACTGCACTCCAGCCCAGGTGACAGAGAGAGATCCTGTCTCAAAAAAATTAAAAAAGAAAGAGAGAGAGAGAGAGAGAGAGAGAGAGGAGAGAGAGAGAAAGAAAGAAAGAAAGAAAGAAAGAAAGAAAGAAAGAAAGAAAGAAAGAAAGAAAGAAAGAAAGAAAGAAAGAAAGAAAGAGAGAGAAAGAGAGAAAGAGAGAAAGAGAGAAAGAGAGAAAGGGAGAAAGGGAGAAAGAGAGAAACAGAGAAAGAGATATCAGATATTTTTTAAGCCTAAGAGACTGTAAATCATGCATCGGGCCAAACATAATTCTCTTTCTTCCTGTTAGACTAGTCCATAAACTACAAAATGAGGATTACGTGTAAAGAAACACAGCAAAATGAGCTGTGAAGTAAAAATATACATATCTAACCCTATTTTCTCCTGCACTCCTCATAATATGTCTCCACATATTTTCATCCATAAAACGCAGGAACTCACTTATAAGGTTGCTACAAGAATGAAATGAAGCCACAAGAATGAAATGAAGCCAGGAGAATGAAATGAAGCCAGGAGCGGTGGCTCACACCTGTAATCCCAGCACTTTGGGGCAGAGGCAGGTGGATGGCCTGAGGTCAGGAATTCAAGACCAGCCTAGTGAAATATGGTGAAACCCCATCTCTACTAAAAATACAAAAAATAGCCAGGCGTGGTGGCAGGCACCTGAAATCTCAGTTACTCAAGAGGCTGAGGCAGGAGAATCTCTTGAACTAGGGAGGCAGAGGTTGCTGTGAGCTGAGATTGTGCCACTGCACTCCAGCCTGGGTGACAGAGGGAGATTCTGTCAAAAAATTAATAAATAAAAATTAAAAATGAAATGAGAAAATGCACATAAAATGTTTAGTCCAGCATCCAACACAGAATGAATGCACAGTAAGTCCTAGCTAATGTGATCAGGCCAGGTTGTTTTGAGTACATGCTCAGTGCTGCAAAGGTCTTTTAAATTAATTTACTCAAAACTTGCTTTTCTCCTGATGAGGAAATCAAAGCTCTAAGAGTTAAGAGTTTTACCCAACAGTGCACAGCCACTGGCAGAGCCAAAGCAGACACCAGCGTTTTCTAAAGCACAATTCAATATTCTTTTCACCACTCCATGAAACTTTTGTTCACACTCCTAACTGAAATATAGGACCAAGAGAGCCATAAGGTTGAGAATATGCCAGTCATCTCAAAGCTACAGGCTATGCCCAGGCAGACCTGGAGGAGTAAATGATAGAATGAGATTGAGTCTGTGAAAGTCATTCATTATTACACAGTTGATCGTTCTCCTATTTTTTTGTGGTGGTGGGAAGGACATTTATCTCCCATCATGAGTAGTTTCTTTGTTTCTCTTTTGTTCAATCACTTTACTCCAGGAAGTACAAACAACTATTATGCAGTATTTGAGGATTTTGTCTGCTGAGAGTTAGCTAGGAACATAAAGGCATTCAAAAGATTTACATTTCTAGTCAACTGAAGAGGGTGTGGTGGCAGGAAATCCAAGGACAAGTTACTCTCCTTGTCTGAAATATAAGGCTAAGAGTTATGTCAGAAAGAGAGCAACAGATCACTATCATTTTTTAAGTTTAAATTACTTTTCTTGAGTCTGTGCTTATGTACTTAAAAGAGAAGTTGTATATTCTCTCCTACACATTAATTCCCTAACAATTCTCCACTCTTACCTATTCATAAAACTAAGAGTACGCCGGGCGCGGTTGGCTTCACGCCTGTAATCCTAGCACTTTGGGAGGCTGAGGCGGGCGGATCACTACGTCAGGAGATCGAGACCATCCTGGCTAACACGATAAAACCCCGTCTCTACCGAAAAAATACAAAATAATTAGCCGGGCGTGGTGGCGGGCGCCTGTAGTCCCAGCTACTCGGGAAGCTGAGGCAGGAGAATGGGGCGAACCGGGGAGGCAGAGCGTGCAGTGAGCCAAGATCGCGCCACTGCACTACAGTCTGGGTGACAGAGCAAGACTCTGTCTCAAGAAAAAAAAAAACAAAACTAATAATAATATGAAGATTAAAAAAGTCAATGTTCGCTAAACATAAGATTTTACTATAAATAATCTCTCATGGTGAATAACGAGACAATGCTAGCACTCTTTGTTGACATCACCTCAAATATTTTTATAGCCACATTGGCATTCCGTTCATGAAACACAAGTAAAGCGATGACTTCATTCCCAAGGACGAAGGATAATTGATCTTAACCTTCCTATCACTTTTCCTTAACTCAAAGCACTAATGCAATTGAAGGTACTGATAAATAAAATTTCTCCAGGAAATGAATGACATTGTGACAGCTAACCTCCAAGTTACCTCCAAAAAGTACAAAGTACAATGTGATTCAGGATCTCAATTCAGAAAACCCTTTCCCCACAATGTGAATGGAAAGCTGCCAAAAATATTTTGTTGAAAAGAAATTCAAACTTTGGAGGATATTAAGTTTTTCTTCCTCAGTTTTTAAAGAAAAAAAAACTAATTTCAACAAAATTCCAACAATTCAAAATGAAGCAATGTTCAAAGCTGGATTATTCATTTACATTAAATTTATTAGTGGGATGCTTTTATTACCACAAACCTAAAACATTTTGTCACTTTCATCTCCTGATATTACCAACTAATCCTGATTTTCCACATATAACATGTAAAGTTAAGTAATGGCTCTGGAAAACTGTGTATGACTATATCAAGTTGCTACTTCACCAAGATAGTAATATTTCCATCTCTTTTCCCTTTCTTTTTTTTCCAGTCACTAATGATACTTCCTATACTGAGCTAGAGTATGTGAATATGGCTGATTTTGGCCACATAATTTCGCCATACTTTTTAAAACAGAGGTCAACAGTGAAATCAAGGTAAAAATTTTACCACATTTTCCCAAATCAGAGTCTAAAGAATGGAGGGAAGGTTCTTGGTTGTCACGTTAATGTAACATTTCCCTTTCCAGAGCAAGTAATTAGGAACTTTCTCTCCTCCTGTGCCTCTTTAAATATGGTAACCCTATCAACGTAAGCTAATCTAGAGAACAGACGTCCAAAGCACACTGTCATCCAATACACGAGCGCACACACAGTGGCCAGAGGACAGAAACCCAGAGCTCAGCACCTTGCACAGAAACTCTCACCCCTGACAACCTTCACACAAGCACATCTGGCTGGCTTAGATTTGCAGCACCAGTATACCTTACTGGTAACCCAGCTGCAGCCCACCATCACAGCCCGCAATGGAAGCCCACAACCTCACGCCCCGTCACTTTTTCCAAGAGACCTGTACGCCGGCCCCAAGCCTCACTAGCTCCGGGCCCGTCCGGAGTGTCCGCGGCCGCCCCGAGGCCACTCACCGTGTCTGCAGTCGCAGTAGCCCCAGTCCACCTTGCCGCGGGCGTCTCCGTAGAAACACCAGGGTCTGCCCGTGCCGTCCGGGCTCCGACAAAAGTTGTGGCGCTGTCCTCGCAGCTGAGCCCAGTTCGCCGGGGGCGACCGCTCCAGGAAGGGTGGCACCTCCGCCCACCGCAGACACGGGGCGCCGAAGTCAGTCACGCTGACCCATAGCTCGCCGGCGGGGCAGCCCCAGGGGTGCGGCCGGGGTGTGTGCCCCGCCTGGAGGGCGTGCGGGCGCTGGGCAGGGAGCGCCCTCGGGGGGCGCGGGAAGCGAGGGAGAGGCGGCGGCGGACGTGTCCTCGGGGGCCGCTGGTGGGTGGGAAGGTAATAGGGGTACTGCGGTCCAGGAGGGGGCGAATGGCGGTGGCGGTGGTGGAGGGAATCATTGAGGACAGAATCAAAGCCAACCACTTCGGGGAGCGCCCCTAACACCAGGGCCAGCACGAAGCGGGCGAGCGTCATGGTGCCAGCGCTGCGGAGTCTGGTCCATGCTCCCCAGCTTCTCCGGCTCGGAGGCGAGAAGAGGAGGGGGCGGGGGCGGGGCTGCCGCGTCCCTCGAATCCCCCAGCCCCCTCCCGCCCCCGCGCGCGGACCGCCCTCGCCTTCCCAACCTCGCCTCCAGCCGCTGGTGCCCTGCCGCGCCTCGGCTCCTGTCCCCCGGCGGCGACCGCGGGTGGGGGAATCTGAAGCTCAGTCGAGCCCCAGCCGGCAGAGAGAACCTGTAAAGAGAAGGCGCGGACGCAGCGGGGAGCGGTGGGGCCTGAGCCCCAGGTAGCGGCGCAGGCACTAGCCCGGGAACTCTGCCCCCTGGGGGCGGGTGCCGGCCGCGCAGGCGGCTCGGGACCTCCGCTCGGCCCCTGCCAGGCCCACCGCAGTTCGCCCGCACGGCACTGTCAGCTCCTGGGGCCGAGCCCGAGGGTGCCCGCGCGGAGCACGGTCTTGGCTGCCCCTTGCCAGCATGCAGCACCAGCACAGCCCGGCGTTGGCGGCTCCCAAGTCTGGCACCGGCCCCTGCCGTCATCTCTCCTCCAACCTCGTCGCCCCGTATCTTGTTTCCTGTGTTTTGAAATCTTTACCAAAGTGTGGATGGATTTAGATGCAGCTCTCCCCTGACGACTCCCAGCATAAAAGTTATCAAAGCCCACGAGGAATGTTAAAGCCGTGTCACTGAACTATAAGCTCTTCAAGGACGAGACTACGTTTTATTCAGCTTGATATCCCCGTGCCTAACACCGTGCCCCAGTAAACATTGGCTGAAATTAAATTCCTGAACCGACTCAGGGAAAGGAGCTTGAGCCTTTCTGCTTCCTGCCTCCCACTTTCCAGCCGGCGCCCTGGACACCACCAGTTGTTTGGTTATTATTGGGATTCAGTGAGGCTCTCTTTAATACCAAATTTCCTCTCTAACCAGGGAAGACTTCATCCGTCCCGGTTTCCATCCTATCCAAAAATCCATCCCCCTAGCACCTGCCTCTGTTTTTTTTGCAGGGCAAGGGACTTCAGTTAAGCCTATTCATTTGCTTCTCCAGAATAGACTCTGCCTGCTGACAATTTTGAGGCTTCACTGTTGGCTCGACCTCAACTAAGTAGGGCCCTTTCAACACTCCCCGCCTCCCTCCCGCAGGCTCCAAAAAACTGTTGGCAAAAAAATTCACTGGAGCTGGATGTTTTAGTATTTTGCCTTTCAGTTGTTTCTGACTATGCCATCAAAGTTTAACAAGGAAAAGGAAGCCCGTAAAGAAGGCAACATTTTATTTTCTGGCATGGTCATATTTCATTGTGAGAGGGCAATGCTGTCTCATGATACAATATACCCTGAAGAAAACTTGAACAAAATGCAAATATTTATTGTTAAAACCTAGGGTTCAATTAGGAACTGAATTAATTCACTACTAGCTTTAAATAAGCCATCTTTAGCCGGGCGAGGTGGCTCACACCTATAATCCCAGCAGTTTGGGAGGCCGAGGCAGGCGGATCACATGAGGCCAGGAGTTCGAGAACAGCGGATCACATGAGGCCAGTAGTTCGAGTTCGCCAACATGGTGAAACCCCGCCTTTACTAAAAATACCAAAAGCCGGGGGAGTGTTAGCGCGCGCCTGTCATTCCAGCTACTTGGGAGGCTGAGCCAAGAGAATCGCTTGAACCTGGGAGAGGTTGCAGTGAGCCGAGATCATGCCACTGCACTCCAGCCTGGGCGACAGAGGGGAGACCTTGTCTCAAAAAAAAAAAAAAAAAAAAAAAAAAAACCTTTACTTTTTGTGGGTCATTTTATTGTTTTTTGTTTCACTCTTATTAATGAAATATTTGATTTTGCTTCAGAGAGAACTGGGTAAAAGAAATGATATTAAGAGTCCAGGGATGTATTTGTCAAATCTTTATTCAAGATGTTTTTATTCCAGTTGTTTTTACCCATTATTTTTTTACTAATACTTTTCTAGCTCCAAAAGCATAGTTAAAACTATACTTGTGGAAGACAATGAAAGATAAAAGATATATCTGGAGTAGTCTATTTGTTGATTTTAGTGAGGGTTGGCAGAGTTCACCAATCACAGATTTTTGAAATAATAGGCGACAGTTCTATCAGGGGTCAGCCCTTTTTCTTTCTGACTGTCTCTTCCTCCTCAGGCTACACACCTGATGGCCCAGGGAAGGCTCATTTTAGGACTGTGGGGAGACTGCTCGAATCCTGCTCCCGTCCCTTCCCCTGCAATCATTGCTTCCATGCTTCCTGGGGGTCCAGAAGCAGACCCAATTTCCATGCATCTACATACCTTGCAGACAGGAAAATAATGAGAGAGAAGTGAATAAAACAGAAGACTGTTAGATCTGAGCTCCAGAGAGGAGCATAGCCTCGGGCAGTCTGGCCTCTCCTCCACTTCCCTGTACTCTGAGGCCTCTTAACATTTAACAGACTGTAAACTTGACATACACAAAGTGGAGTTACCCACAGAAAATTCCACATCCGGATTTCATCATTTAAGTTTTAAAACATACTTTTTCTTAGAAAATGTAAGGGTATTTATGTAATTATGGTTTGAGGGCGTCAGCTTGGGTTTTGCCTTCTATTTGACAGGAAAAGTTTGTCTTAAATAGCTCTCTTCTTGACATATTAGTCCCCTCTTCTGCTAATATTTTCTCTTCCTGTCTTCTTTCATTTCTCCTTGCTGCTACCAACATACAGATGTTTAGAATTTCCAATTCCCAATTCAATCCCTGAAATGCATTTCTCCCTCTTCTACCTGTCACATCACAGCATGTTTGGAGTTTGGGGGAATGAAGAGTACAGGGGTTTGCAGGAAGAAATTCTTTCCTTCTACCTCTATTAAGGCACTACTTAGTCAAAGTTCCCTCCCAGGATTCTCATCACCCTCTCTTATGGATAACAATGCCAAAGGAGAGGGGAGGCAATTCCATCTTGCTACAACTGTAAGAATCCTTGTCATGTGCAGTGACTTAAGCCTATAATCCCAGCACCTTGGGAGACTGAGGTGGGAGGACTGCTTGAGCCCAGTAGTTCAGTACCAACCCGGGAAACATAGTGGGACTCCGTCTCTCCAAAAAAAAATTTTTTTAACTACAAGGAGGCTGAGGCAGAAGAATTGCTTGAGCTCAGGAGATTGAGGTTGCACTGAGATGTGATCATGCCACCGCACTCCAGCTTGGATAACAGAGTGAGAAGACTCTTCCAAAAAAAAAAAGAAAGAAAAAACTCCTGCAGCTGATTCTCTGCTTTCCCTTCCTTTCAGCAGCAACAAAGGAGCAAGGAAAGGGACAAAAAGAAACAAATGACATCTTGCAGGCTCTCCTCATCGCAACACTTGGAAGTCCCAGGGAGGCCCCCATAATGGACTCTGTCACCTCTGATTTCATCAATCCTCTGTCATTGATTTGGGACCCAAGAATTCAACTATCCTTTGCCACACAGCCTATTCTGGTAGGACTTAGATCCAGAACCACAACTGGAAACCTAGGGAAGTGAAGGGAAGAGTCTCCCTGCACACACAACAGCAGGGAGGGTGGGCAGTCTTGGGGGTGAGGGTGCGGTACACATACGTCTGCACATCTGTACTTTTCCACAGCAACTATGTTATACATGAACATTTGGTTTTGTGGTAGTTTAGGGGATCATCTTACTTCACGTAAGTGATGGGCTGAACAGCTGTTGTGTAGTTTGATTTGGAAACATAGCCGAAATGTATATTGTTTTTACAGAGTTCCAAAAACCAATATACAAAATAACTTTTGGAAAAGGCCCATTTACAATTTAGATAATGCCTGTATTTGGAAAAGCTAAGAACTTTTAAACAGATGGCATAAGAACAGTATTTACTTTGACAATTCCAATGGCAAAAAAATTGTCAAAAGAACACTGAGCATTGCTCTTTCACATCAAAGGAAAAAAAATGTCAAATAATATGAGGGACTGTCTAGGGATTCTAGGAGCCTCAAAATTATAGAACATTGTCCAGCCTATAGAGGGGTGAAAAGACAATTAGATGACAATATAATATTTTATGTAAAATTCAAAAAAATAAGAGAAACATCCAGAAAATAAATGATAAATTGCCAAATGAATGGCACAATGCTTTGGGGTCAGAAGTCCCTGTTAGCAGGCGGTCTCTGGCAATACAGGGAAAGTCTCTCCCTATGCCTTGTATTAGTCACACTCTTCTCTGCCTGCCCCAAACCATGAGGACATCTGAGGGCCAGTGATTGCAACAGTAGTACCATAGGAGTCATTTGATCTTGATTTTTCTCATGGTTTAAGGTCAAAGTTCATAAACGGAACAAAATGTTTTTGGAGTTTGGATTGATTTTTAAAATTCACCTAAACTTGATATAATTCTTGTACAGAAATTAGTTCTACAGACTTATTTTTGGGGTTACCCAAATTATATATACTAATAGGTAAGGAGTGTGTGTGTGTGTGTATGTGTATATGCCTCACACTCTAGATATATAGTTCCTAAACTTGGTTACTTTGGCCTTGGCATCAAACCTGTGCTTGATCTGCACACTAATCAGTAGGGAAATTCAGACGAGTTTCCTTACCTCCTAAGCCCAAGGCTCCTCATCTGCGAAAAGGGGAGAGGGACAGTACTTGCATGCTAGATCTCTGTGAGGGGTAATTGAGATAATTAATGCATGTAAACTGTTGAACAGAGTACTCCATATTGTACGGTGGAATAGCATCAGTAACTGCCATTGAATTCTTAACCCCTCAAACTAAGTCACCCAGTGAAAATCTACATCAGTGATGCAGGAAATTTGTCCAGATTTTTCCTCCCCATCATGCTCTGCCTGTTACTGCACCTCAGCAATTTCCGCTTTAAGATTGATGGCAGTCATGAGGCTGCTGTAGCTCTGCTCACTTGAGCACTTGTTCTCTTTGTGTGTTCTCTCTCTTCCTCTCCACAAATTTTGTCCCTGAAAGCCAATGAAATACTAAGTATCTCAAGTT